CTCACCGCAACCTCCGCCTCCTGGGTTCAGGCAATTCTCCTGCCTCAGCCTCCTGAGTAGCTGGGATTACAGGCACGCACCACCATGCCCAGCTAATTTTTTGTAGTTTTAGTAGAGGCGGGGTTTCACCATGTTGACCAGGATGGTCTCGATCTCTTGACCTCGTGATCCACCCGCCTCGGCCTCCCAAAGTGCTGGGATTACAGGCTTGAGCCACCGCGCCCGGCCTCCACATTACTCTTTACTCATTTGGTTGTTTTTGTTGTTGGTTTCTGAGACGGAGTCTCGCTCTGTCACCCAGGCTGGAGTGCAGTGGCGCCATCTTGGCTCACTGCAGCCTCCGCCTCTGGGGTTCAAGCGATTCTCCTGCCTCAGCCTCCCGAGTGGCTGGGACTGCAGGCACACGTCACCACGCCTGGCTAATTTTTGTCTTTTTAGTAGAGATAGGCTTTCGCCATGTTGGCCAGTCTGGTCTCAAACTCCTGACCTCAAGTCATTCACCCGCCTCGACCTCCCAAAGTGCTGGGATTACAGGCGTGAGCCACCACGCCTGGCCTGCTCACACTTTTTCATACTTAATAGGTCCCCAAGTGGGTCTCTGCTCCAATGTCCCCACCCTTAGTAACTGGCACCACTATCTACCCAGTTGCTTACACCAGACACTTAAAGTGTACCATTGACACCATTCTTTCTTTTTTTCTTCATTTCCAGTCCGTGTTGTTTCCAATTCTAAATGGTATCCTTAATCTCTCCACCTCCTACCATCTCTACTCCTCTTTCCCAGTTTAACCTGCCATCAGCTGTCACCTTGACTCCCACAATAACCCTTCAAGCAGTCTCTCCTTTATGCTCTCCTTACACCCCCCATCCATTGCCCACACAGCAACTAGAGGAATCTTCAAATGCACCCATCTTGTTAGACCTGTGCTATTTAACGACTTCTCTTCATTTTCTCGAGGAAATCCAAATCCTTAGCGTGACAAGGCCCTGCGGGATCTGGCTACAGCCTGATCTTGGACCACTTTTGCCAACTGGGCTGTAGCCACACTTGGGCCTTCTCCCTGTGCCTTGATCACAGGCAGCTCTTTTGTGCTTCAGATCTTGTTTGTGCAGTTCCCCTGGCCTCAGTGGCTCTTCTCCCATTTCTCCCCACTTCACCTGCCTGAATATTTGGTCTTCTTCAGGGAGACCTCTCAACCTATGCTAGCCCTAGTCCCACAACATGGCTGTAAACTCCAGGAGGGCAAGGACCATCCCACCAAGCACAATACCTGTGTCCACAAATATTGCAGGAACAACATGAATGTAAATCCTGCATCCAGGAATTTCCCTTCCATCCACGAGTCACTCCTAGTCTGCCACTCCCACCCCCAGCTCCAGGGCTAACAGCCCTCTCCGGCTTACTCTTCTCTCACTGCATTTACGGTTCGATATTTTCTCCTTTCAGCTCTGGAGAGGGCCTCTGTGTGGTCCCAGAACGTATATTACATATCTTTCTTTTTTTTTTTTTTTTTTTTTTTTTTTTT